CAAACTAAGGAAGAAAAATCAAATGACCACCTCAATACATACAGAAAAAACATCTGATAAAATCCAGCAATCATTCATGATTTAAAAACAAAACTCTCAGAAAAGTAGGGAACAAAGGGAATTTCTTCAATCTGATATAGGATATTTACAAAAATCCTACAGCTAACATACTTCATGATACAAGACTGAATCTCCATCTCCACCCTCACCCTCAAGATCAGAACAAGGCAAGGAGATTTGCTCTCATCACCTCTATTCAAAATTATACTGGAGGGTCTAGCCAGTGAAATAAAACAAAGAAAATAAATAAATAACATACATATTGAAAAGGAGAAATTAAAATTGTTTATATTTACAGAAAATATGATTATGTGGAAAATCCCAAATAATTTACAAAAAAGCTACTAAAACTACTAAGTGCAGCAATGTTTCAGGGTGCAAGTTAACACACAAAAATCAAATATATTTCCATAGATTAGGAAAAAACAATTAGAAATTGCAATTTAAAAATAATACATTTATAACAGCACCCCAAAAATATGAAAATACTTGGGTATAAACCTTAAATAAGATGTCTGTGTGTGTGTGCAAAAACTACAGAACACTGATAAAGGAAATCAAAGATGACTTGATCAAATCAAGAGATATTCCATGTTCATGGAATGAACTGAAAACACAGTACTTCTAAGATGTTTCCCCAAACTGCTCTATAGATTCAATGTAAGTCCAAACAAAATCCTGGTGGGATTTCTCTCTCTCTCTTTTTAAGAAATTGACAAGTTGATTCTAAAATTTCTATGGAGAAGCAAAGAAAATAGAAGAGCCAAACCAAAAACAAAGTAAGAGGTCTCACATGATCCAACTTTCAGATTTACTACAAAGCTGCAGTCATCAACCCCGTGTGGTAATGGAGAAAAGATATAGACAAACAGAACAATGGAATAGAACAGAGTCCAAAAATAGGCCCACAAATATATGGTCAAGTGATTTTTTGATAAAAATGCAAAATAATTAGATGGAGAAAGGATCATCTGTTCCACAAATGGTGCTGGAATAACTGGATATCTTTATGCAAAAAAGAAAATCAATCTTGATTCATAACTCACATTTGATATAAAAATTAACTCATAATGCATTAAAGAACTAAATGAAAAATATAAAACTTATAAAAGAAAACATAGGAGAAAAGCTATGTAAGTTATTCTGGTTTCTGGTCCAGCATTTTAGGAACTTAGAAGTTGCCAATCCATCCTAACAAATGAAAACCTAAACAAACCAAAAATCAAAGAATTGTTCTAAGATCCATCTAAGAAATGGGACCACAGAGCAAACCACTGCCCTCAAAACTGGAAAGACAGAAAGACAGAGAATTACAACTTACCAGAGCAGAAGCCTCCATGGGCACAGTGCTGGGATAGGAAACCCTGAACTGAAATTGACAAATTACTGGAGGCTAAGTGTGGACAACTCTGAGAATGAAAAACTCCTTAGGAACCCAGTCATGGGGTGGGGGTGGCAGGGGGCGGGTACCGATACTTTTGTTGAGTTTTACCTCCAGGAGCTCTAACAGGTTCTCATGTTGAGTATCAGCAATTTGTTTCAATATTGTAAGCAAAGAGATGAAAAGTCTAAGAAAAAAAAATTTTTTTTTAATTCAAGAGATTAACAAAATTATACCTAGGCATATGATATAAACCTTAGAAATCAAAGCTAAAGAAAAAATCTTGAAAAAAGCCCGGGGGAAAAAACACCTTACCTATTAGAGAAGCAAATGAGAATTATATCCACTTCCCTTCAGAATATTTTAAAACAATCTAAAAAATACATTAAGGTGAGACTAGCATGCAAAAGTGCAGATAAAATCACACTAGGTTCTGCACTGGTTAGATAACATTCAGAGCAGCAGTCAGCAAACTATGATCTGTGGGCAAAATCTGGCCCAACCACCTGCTTTTGTAAAAATAGTTTTTTGGAACATAGTTAGGCTTATAATTTACATATTATCTATGGCTGTTTTCACACTATAACGGCAGAGTCAAGTAGTTGTGACAGACACTGAATGACCCTCAAATATCTAAAATATTTATATCTCACCCTTTATAGAAAAAAGTTGCTGACTCCTGATGCAGAGTATTAATATCTACTTTGAGACTCAAATTTTAAAAGAAATACTAATAAAAAAGAAAGTAAACAAATAATGAAAGGCATGGAAATAATGCCACTTAAAGAATAGTTTATTACATAGGGTATAATTAGCCTGAAATAAAGATTTAGAGAAGAGAAAGTAATTATGATGGATTTAGAGAACTATCCTATGGAAAAGGAATTAGACTAATTTGGGGTGGCTTCAAAAGAAATAACTGAGATCA